CTGCTGGATCGCTTGGTGGCCAGCTAAGCGTGGAAGGACAGAACCAAGGGAAAGGAGAAATTGGTGTGGGCGCGTGACGTGATCATGTGATGAGTTTTGGGATGGAGTGGTCCGAGTGCTCAAGGTTTTCAAACCAATCTACGTGCAGCTCAGGGCGGTTGATGGTACGCAAGAAGTCATGGGCAAGATATATGACATGATGTTCCTTCTAGAGGACTCGGTGCGAGACGCATACAAGGATTTACCGGAAGAGGAGAAAGAATGGATTGCTGAAGCGGTGCGAAACAGGTGGAATAATTCCATCAACTGCGCGTTGCAGGTTATTGCATTCTTTACCCCCCCAACCAGTTTGAGAACATTGTTGGCACCGATCGGGAATGTAAAACATTTTCAGAGGCTTCATCCGGGACTATTTCAAAGGAGAGTTTGTAGTCGATGAAGATGGGGACCGGCACCCCGGTGCAACCATTGTGGAGAGGGAAATCAGGGCGTACATGAAAGGGGAGGGGGAGCTTGGTGAGGAAAAGGCGCGGATTGAGAAGGACCTCATCAAGAAAGGGAAGATAGATCCGGCTCAATGGTGGGAGTTCAACGGATCGCATTTGCCCCACCTTTCAAAGCTTGCACCAAAGGTCCTCAATCAGTGTGTTTCGGCATCATCTTGTGAAACCAACTGGGGGATATGGGAGGGGATTCATACGACCCGCCGCAACCGCCTCGGTGCAAAAAGGCTCGCCGACTTGGTGTGCGTAACGCACAACTACAACACCGTGCGAAGGCTGAACTTGGACTTCGAGAACAAGCTGAAACTTTCACCGCTGCCAACAATCCATGAACGCGAGATACCGGATGTCTATGAGCCCATGGACGATGATGATTTGGAAGATAGTTGCTACAAGGATGATGAGGATGGGATGGCACCCTTGGAGAAAGATAAGTAGTAGTGTTTTGCTCAGTTTTCTGGTGACAGTGTGTTCTTGAAGAAGTCTTGTGTGCTCTGAATGACTTTTTTTTATCCGGGCAGGCTTGAAAAGTTTTTTAGCTGACCGTAAACGTAAACCCATATCAGGCAAGCGTACGGAAACGTAAGTTTACTTCGTAATCTTGCGTAAATGTAAACCAGCGTAAACGTACAATGTCAACTTAGCGCCTGAGATATGCAGATGGAGCTAAACCCTGAACGGAATGCTGTAAAAACAGCAAAAAACTCGCCCAAAAATGAACCTTCAACTTCACACCACACCCATATGCAAGTAGGTAGGTGCGTAGTTTGCTTGGGTGGGTACGAGGTGTTGCCTAAGAGGTAAGGTGATGCGTCAAACTGCTCGACCGAGATGATACGGTTCGGGACGAACGTTTTTCGCAAAGGTGATGCCTACCAGGTAAGGTGATGCCTCAAGCTGTTACGGTTCGGCACGAACGTTTTTTGCTAAGGAAAGGTCTGGTTTGACCTGTGGAGAAACCCGTTCAATCGAACCGAATGGAAGTCATGTTCGATGCTTATCTCCGTCCCGACCTTACCCAATTGTGAGCCAAAAACTCAACATTTCGTTTAGGGTTCAATCACTTCAGCTGATCGCACCAATGGAAGATTTCAGCCTGTTTGAGATCGGTCTACCCATTCATTTCAAGCCGTTTCTGATGTACCTTCAGCTCACTATTTATTTCATAGAATTTACTTCAATTTTTTACACTATACCCAATCTATATAGCTTATGTGCAGGATACAAAGTGGAAGAGAAGCGCAGAAAGGGAAACACAGCCAAGCAAAGGGGCTTACAGGTAATTCATGTTTGAAAGCTTGGCTATTGCAGTAGGAATTGCACCAGAGAGCTGATTGCTCGAAAGATCTCTGCCACGATGGACGTGAACGGGCATGCGGTACATACACGAAGCTCAGGTTCGCATGGCAACGAGCAGCAGATAGGAAGAAGTAACTACAATCATAATGGGAGACGAAATCCCTGAAATTGCAAACAAGTCGAGAATGGCAGAGTGATGGACAACGTCCACGGGAAGTGTGCTGATAACGACAGGGGATAGATGAGGGCAGGAAAAGCGTGGAAAGTTGAATTTTTGTATGCACCAAGGCGTGTCAGCCACTTATGGTATGGCTAAAAACTATGAATGAAAGGGGCAAACACGAATGTGTTTTCGTTCGCCCCTGCACGAACACCTTTTGGAAAAAAAGGTGTTTGGTGTTCACCCAGGGACAACCTTCGTTCACCTGGTAAAGGCGAACACCTTGCTGGCACTGGCGAACACGAACGTGTTCGTGGCAAACACGTTCGTGTTCGCCCAGGGACAACCGTCACTACAGTCACACATGGCAAACAGGGGAATTGGCCCTCCCAGATTATTGGTAGGGAAGTTACAGGTGTTGTGGTGGAGTACTGTGGTGTTCTATCTATTACTCCACCGTGTACCCTAAAAAGTTCTATGATGGAGAACTGATGCTCGCTCGAAATATGAGCCCAAACACATTGACCCGCGACCTAGTTATTGGTCACGGGTCAAATCGTTGACAAACCCTACCAATGCATTTGGGCCCAATGCCCAACATAGTGGAGAACGTACAGAATAGAGAGCTCGCGGAGGCTGCTGATGGAATTCGGAATGGACCCGTTTAGGTTGAGCTTGGGTATCTTCCTGCACCCAAGAACACCCAAGAGCACCCAAATGCACCCAAGAGCACCCAAGAGCACCCAAGCATGTGCTGGCGTATGGTTACCATCAGATCACGAGAGTGAAAGAGTGGTGTGGTGCGGCCTTGTTGGTAGCACACGCGCACGTCATGGTGATCACTGCATGCGCATACTTAGGGGGCAACCCCCCCCCGCACGAGCGTCAAGCACACTTCAGTTAGAGTGCAGATTGAATCTCACAACTCCAAGACCATTCCGTTGCTGTCGCATGTGATGCCCTCTACACTGCTACAGTCCGGATTGGAGTACGCCCAACCAGGCAACGTCTGACCCCATGCCGTGTTGCAGTCCTGCAGGAATTGCACTGCGGGTTGGTGGAGTGGAGGTGACGTGGGGAATGGGGAGAGGGGACAAGACGAGAGGTGGGTGTTGGAGGGTGTGGAGGTAGCCAGGAGGAATGAGATGAAAGGGAAGTGTGTCTGGGTGGGATGGGTGGGAGGGGGCGTGGCGTGAGGAGCGCACGTAGCAAGCAATTGCCCGGGGTACATAGCAACGCTCCAAAAAAAAAAAAAAAAATGATGGTAACCAACAGGTTCCGGTCAGGAAGGACACCCAGTGCTCCCCAAGTACGGGCAGGGCTAAACGTTACCAAACCACGAAGCCGCACAAAACGCCACCACTTGTCACAAAACTCCACAGCCAATTATCATGAACTGCTTCCGACTAAATGGCTCGTCCCGAGCCATCAATTCATCGCAAGAAAACTCAAGTCTCAGACTCGGTGCTCCGGACTGTAAGTGCATTTTACGTCCTAAGCCAAAAAAAAAAAACACAAAAAACACAAAAAAAAAAAAAAAACACAAACACACACACAAACCAGAGCCTAGGTTTCGAATCCCGGTGGTTCATTTGTCCGCTGTGAGCGAGACGTGGAATGTCGTGACGCAGTTGCGAACCCAGCGAAAGGTCCTCTATATGCCTGACCCCACCAGCGAAAGTCGCTTCTTGGAGTACTACAGCGGGCGACTCCCTGCAGTTCGCCAACGAGGACGTTGGCACCACCAGGGGGACGAGTGTGGGCATTCAGCTAACGCCTGTGGGATGTGTTAAGGGCATTCCGCTAACGACTGTCTGGCTGTGTTAAGGGCATTCCGCTGCTACATAACACCCTCATTTCAACATAGTGGGCGTAGCGCACTGACATCGTCGCACCTTGCGACGCCTTAAGCGGCTGGGCGTTGACCAGAGGGACGGCGAGGCACCATGCGAGTGCCAGCGCGCGGAGCACCCATAGTAGCTCCATGAAATTCCTCACGGCTCACAACCGCGGCCGCCGGTGGAGGCGCGAGGGTGAGCGCTACACGGCGCCGCACCGTTGAGCTGACTCGCCCACCGCGACTCGCCAAGCTGTTCGTGGCGCTCTCCCCCGCGACCCCCATGCTCACACGGCTGCGTGCGAAGGCGAATGGCAGTGCGCCACCGAGAGTCCCAATCGAGAGTGAAGAGAGGCGCCCGCTCTATTGCTGATTGTTCGACCGGCGGCCGCCGCGAACCAAGCTGTTTTGGAACTGCTCCTAGGAACAAAACCAAGAAACAAACTTTGTTTGACCTTGTGGGAGGGAAAGATACTTTCAACGCGTCGCGTGGAAACGAAATCAGACCAAGCAGCGGAAATCTCGGAAATGCTTTGGACGGCAAGGCATCGGAAAAATGTCCGCCCAGTTTGCAGCGGTTGACAATCGAGGAGATGAAGCAGCGCGGGAGTTGATGGTCGTGCACCGAGTGCCTAGTTAACGAGGCAGTCATCTGCCCAAAACTGGTGGTTCCGTCAACTGTGGTTCACAATCACTTTTCGGTGAGAAGGCAGGTACAGGTGGGTGGTGGTTTATGAAGCAACCACGCTCGGATTCTGCAGGTTGCGGTCGTTTCACAACAGGGTCGTCAACCACATCAGCTCAATGTGTGATGTTCGATTGGCCACGTGGACTGTAGGAACAGCATCGATTGTGGCAGGAAATGGTGGTACACAACATTGCGACGAACAGCTGGGAACAGTGTACGTTACGGTTACCTGGGTAACAAATGTCAAAGTGTAACTGTATAAATTCATATGTTCCACCCTATGTCGAGAATTTGTTTTTTATACGTAAAAAGCGCGCATCGATATAATCACGGGTTGGACGTATGAATTAGTGCTACAGTATAAAGCAATTATCAATATATTTTTAATCAATGCGACTAAAGACGAAAACAATATTATTTGCTAAAAAATACCAGATGATTAAAATCAGCAAAATTAGGATAGTTATATTGCATGTTGTGGAAGCTGCATAATATCAGTGACATCTACACTAATCACAGATTGTTAACGGGAGGCCAGGGGGTTGGAACGACACCAGAGGGGAAGAAAAACAGCTCATAACCCTCAATCAGGATCCTCACTTTCCCAACACCCATCTCGAACCCCATCGGCTCATCGATCTTGAATGTGGCAGGCTCCCTTTCAAGGGTTTCCTTCAGCCATGCCGCCACCACCCTTGTCTTGGCATGCACGTTGTTGCGGTTGTTGGTCTCGTTGTTGTCAAGAGATGCATGACCCTTCTTGCCCTTGTGGTTCTCCAATGGCCATTCAACCTGCCACCAATGACATCACATGAGTTAAGAACAATATGCGGGGAGAAACAAAAATGATCAAATAACACAAGTGACAACTTACCACGTTGCAAAGATAGCCGACTGCTGGGATCTTCACTGCAAACATGTTGCACCGGGCGCTGACAAAAGCCTTCTTGACTGCCAGCTCAAAGGCCGCAGCAGCGAAAGGGCGGCCCTGAGCAGAGCAGTGCCAGTCATAGCCGTACTTCGCTGCAGAAGTGATGAACAATGGCAATCAGATATGAGCGCAACAACAGCAGATTGCTTGAGCAATAACAGAAAGGAAAAGCACACTCACGGTGTTTGAACTGCTCCACCCAGCCTTTTTCATCACGCGCCTTTGTTGGTGTGATGCCACCAACCTTCAAGAGGAACCATTTCTCCTCGTCAATGACGCCACCAGCACCCCATGCCCAGAGCTTGATCGGCTTCTTCATGTTCGCACGTTTGCAGCCAATCACCTTCAGCGCCCGTTCAATGCGCTTGCTGTTCCCGCCCATGAAGAGGTAGTACTCATCTTGCGTGGTCCCCTCGGCTATGTACTTGCGCACCAAATGTGGCTGGAATTCTTCCCACAGTGGATAGAACTCCATCTCTCCTGCAGGGGCAAGGGTGATGAGCCAGGCGTAGGTTTTACCCACCATATCCTGCCAATCACGGGTAAAAAAACGGAGAGGGTTAGATTTCGTTTCTCTGGAAAGGGAAGACATAAGTATTTTGACGGGTCTCCGAAAAGACAGGGGGATGGTGGACGGGCAAGGAGCGGCCACGATAGGAAGTGTAGGGGGAGGGTTTAACGAAGGATTGAATAGGACATGCAATACAGCACAGTAGAAAACACCCACCACCAGAATCACATCATGGGTAACTAAACTTACATCGAATGCATCGTCGCTGCTGATTGATGACGGAATTATCGGGTTGCCTGCAACGTCCTTACGGACGTTCTCCATTCGGACCTGGGGGTCGGAAGGGTCCCGAAGGGCGCCCATGTCCGCGCTCGTTCCAGCGACTTCCTCTGAGAGCTGTCGCTGTATCGACTCCAACTGCGTTTTCAGACTATCGCGTTCCGCCTCCACCGCCTTGATCCTGGCCCGAGCCTCCAGAAGATGCGTGTTCAGAGTGGAGACCGTGTTCTGCAGGTCACGCAACTGCGCCTCCAGCTGTCGTGCTTCCCTGAAATGGTGTGCACCAGCAACTACGGTACAAGACCCGGGAATAAGACGTATCGAGAAAGGCAGACAACAAGCAAGTGGAAAGAACAATTAGACAGTCATCCATGCGACGTTTTAAACAACGGAGCTCAGCTCATGGAAATAAAATGCAGAACACATTGGCGAGAGGAGGGGGCGAGTGGGGGGCCAGGGGGGGGGAAACGTACGATAAAGTAGAGCCTCAATTCGAAACCTGGCACCGTAGCTATGAGCGTGGTGCGTTTGCTTACCTTGCGACCGTTCACGCCTTGCGAGTGCTGCCGGGTTATTAGGCTGCGAGGTGTGCGGCGCCAGCTCATCCTGGCGAGCCTCCGCAGAGCGCACATATGCCGCGCGAACCGCAGCCGCGCGGTCCTCCGCTGCGCGAACCTCTGCCGCCCGAAGCTCCGCCGCTCGAAGCTCCGCCGCCCAAATTTCCGCCGCCCGGACCTCCGCCGCCCGAAGCTCCGCCGCCCGAACCTCCGCCGCGCACACTTCCGCCGCCCGAACCTCCGCTGCGCGCAACTTATCGTCGTTTCCCGCTTGGACGCCGTCAGCATCATCTGCATTGTCGTCGTTCCCGTCTTCGTCATCGCTACCAGCTTCGATGCCGGCGTATGCGATGAAGGGATCCACGCCGCCCTCCTCTGCGGCCTCAATCACTGCTGCCATCATCGGACCCGGGGCTCCGGCGGCAGGAACGGGGGGTGCAGGGAGAGCTCCAGTATCAGGGTTTAGACGCGAACCGCAGACTATGCCGCCTGTGGTTGGTGCGCCGTTTTGCGTGGAGTCCGTTGCTTCTGCCACCGGTGCAGGGTTCGCGCCTTCTGCTTCTGACGAAGTGCCGGTGGTAGGGTTGTCAGCGGATGGCGAGCCTGCAGGAATGTTGCCATTCGCACCAGAGGATCGACCACGTGCACCAGAGCCGGCGGCAGCACGTTTCCTCTTAGACCCGCCCCGACGGCCTGCAGCTGCCGTCTTACCAACTGTGGGAGCGCCGTGGAGAGTGTTGACTACAGCTGTTTTTAAGGCAGTCTCTTTAGCTAACTGCCGCCTCTTAATCTCTTCTATAATAACGTCATCTCCCAGCTGTGACAATGCAGAGGCGTCGAGCAGATTGAGAGAAGAATGAGGGTGGGGCAAGGTGACCCCTGCTGGATCTAGCAAAATTCTTTTCCCGGTGCCTGCCCGCACTAACTGTCCCCCGTTCTGAGCCATTGGTTTGAAGACAGTGATGGTTGAGGACCAGTTAAACTTACCAAATGGGGAAAATGCCACAACGCAACCAGCCATGAAACTATTTTTTCGCACGGCTTATTATCTGTAATTCTTAGCGACACAGTGACTGTTTGCAAAGTCTCAACCCGGAAAATTTTTATTTGAACTTTGATTCGGCGAAAGTGGAAGCAAGGTAACATACATATATGTGGATTACTATGCATACTACTAAAAAACGCACCCATAACCTATGCTACAAAGCAGTAAGTTCAACGGATATTTGAAACGGTAGTGATATAGTGCGACGTGAACGAAAAGTAGTGTTGGAATCACAGTTGCGCGTAAAAAACAAACTAATTTGATATTTACCTGAAAGCTAATGGAACAACCACAGTCGCGGTCAAGCGGTCTGTGTTCAACTAAAAATTTCCATCTCGTACAAGCACCACTTCGAAAGGTGCAGGTGAGACAAACGTCGCCACCGCGAGGACCTCGACTCCAACGGAGGTGAAGTCACGCGTGCGCGGCGCGCAGCGTGGCACGTATCTGGAGAAAATGAGTGAATGTGCCTCGTTTTCGACCATCGTGCTGCCAACACGACTGTTATTGCTGCAAAATGAACCAATCGGAAGCAGCCACCAACTGTGTTGGCAACTACAAGATTCCGACCGACTAGTGCGACACCGCCATCCACATTCAGGTGCACCCCACAGTGCGCAACTCGAGGCAGTTATCCTTGTCTGACGGTGTCGCGTGTGGCAGCTGCCATTGCATCGATGGTGAGTTAATAACGAGGAAGCGGGACAAAGTATGCTGTCTCGTTCTGATTGCAAACGATTTGGGAACGTATTATAAAAAACGGATTGAAGTATATGAGTCTTAAAAGGCTTAGGCAGCCTAGATGGCTTTGCTTGCCTGGCAGGCCACTAAATTATACTACCCAGGCCAAAGTTTTCACCATGCAAACCTATTAACCAACCACTTTTCAGCGTCTTTGTCCGGGCGCACTAACTGTACCGCGCGCTTGATGCTATCAATACTTATTACTCGGTACCTCTGATTAACTCCCTCCCAGTGTAAAACCTTGCACTTGGTGGCTGCATCAACGCTGGCCTGTTCCCTGTAGTACTTGAGGAACGCATAGTTTTTAACCGTGCCCGCAACCTTGGCATGAAACAACAGAAGGGTTTTCGCAAACCACTCCTCGTCCCCGTCTGAGCCCTCACCTTTGACCGCCACATCAGAAAACCATTGACGGCCATGGTGCATGGGCAGGGCGCGGATGCGGTGCGGCAGGCGACTATACTGCGCATCAACCGCAGCTGGCATGGCGAGTTTCCAGTGGACCTGCAAAGGCATCGTCAACAAGAAGGGTCATATTGTTGGGGTACGGGTACAAAAGCTACGACGGGGCAGTCCAGGACACCGTACATACATGTACTTCCTTGATAGCTTCCCCATTGCCGTCACAGCCAGGTGCCCTATCCAATGCCGCACGCAAGTGTTTCAACTCCTCGCCGATGATGGCCTGCAACGGGCCATCACGCTTCGCGTCCGGCACCTGAGGGTATGGGGCTCCAACACGTGTTTCTGGCACGTGCAATGCCCAGCTCCTCTTGGACAGAACTCGCTCGCCTGTCCGCTGGGCCTGCAGGCATGGAACACCACCATCATCTCGTTACGTGTATTCCGATGGAACTTATCTAGAACCATACACATAAGTCTAGTTCTTACCTTCACCATGGCGGTGTCATACTTCTTCTTCGCCATGAGCTGGGGCGCGATATACTGAAGACGAAGTCGTGCCTCTTCGCTGCCGACGATCTGGCTATTGACTGACCGTTTATTCGACGCCCTGTAAGGGTTTTTAATGTACTCTATGTGTAGGTGCTCGTATAGTTGTGCAGAATAGTGCTCGGGCAGGCCCGACCTACGAATGGAGTCTATGTAGTGACTGATGAGGTGCATCTTAATGAAGTTCCAATCCGACGTGTGCGGGAATGCGGTCTTGAGGTTGTGTAACATCCTGCGCAGAGGCCAAAACAAGTTGATCAATATGTAGCAAGCAGTCAGAGAATGAACGCAACACACTGTGAACTATACTACTCACCGGTGTGCCTTTGTCTTGAACTCAAGGAGGGAGGTGTCGGTGTGTTCCAATGCCCGCGCGCACTCGAGGTACCACTCGATGTATGAGACGAGTGCGTCCATCTGCGGCTGCGTAATAAAACCCTTGACGATGAAGGGCAGAATCTGCATGACCGACCGGTGTTCGTATGCCTGATAGTTCGCCCCTTTTTCGAAGTACTGACCCGCGGGTAAACGCATGTTCCCCCCTCTAATACTTCTCTTGTAGTACCTAAGGATCCTGTCCAGCTTCTTTCTATCTGCCAGTAACTTCACATGCGCGCGAATGAAGTCGACAATGTGCTCGTAAATGCCCAAATCTGCTTGGTGCATCACATCGGGCAGCACCGCAAGGTACGGGTTGAGAATGGTGTCGGACTCCCACCTCCAGCCACCTAGGAAACTCTGCAAAAAACAGAACCAGCACCTAGAGGTTAGTTTTGGACATGGTATAGCCCATAGAATGACCCTAAAACAGCACTTACAACATACTATACCTGCACTGGGTGGGTGGAGAAGGTTTCCTCCGCATCTAGTGCCAGCCGGCCTTCCAAGATTTCTCGCACAATGGTATCCTGCTCGAATGGTGTACGAGCTTGGATACGATCCAGCAGCACTGCCAAGTGCTTCTTGTCCACTTTGCAAATCGAACACGGAAACATAGTACCCAAGGATTTCGTGCACGTGATCTTGCACGACTCTGGGTAGTCCGACACATAAGCGTACAAGTAGGGCCACACGTTGATAGACTCTCCTGCAGCATTCTTCATAGCTATGCCGGTGTAGGATGCCGTCTTAAGAGATTGCAGCACCTCTCGCATGATGTAATTGTGGACTTGCATCTTATCCACTACGTTGTACTCTGCAGGAAACTCAGGGAGCAGTGCTAGTAGCACGTGCCCAAAGGGTTGCCACCTATCGTCCTTATCAATGTTACCCAACGTGAGATACACAGGATGACCCTTCGCCTTCCCTCTATGATCTATATGCGTCTCGTCACTCGCAAGGATCAAAGCAGCCACAACTCCATCCGGATCCTCCCCCCGCACCAAAGTTTGCAACCTCTCCCACCATAGGCCTGTTTCGGGGGTACTGTACACCCTCACGTTCCCAACGTATTGAGGATCTGCATGGAACACCATCTTGGCAGCCAACTTGGGGTTCTTCAACAGGTCCTGCAGAGCAATCAGGGGATCACAGTACCAATACTCCAGCCACGCCTTGTTACGTGACCGGATGGTCTTTCGTCGCCAACCTCGGTGGCCATCCGTCGCCCTAGACTCAGCGTACGCCTGCACGTCTCGATAGGACTTCCAATCTTGGATTTCAAGAATGCTCTTGCGCAAGATTTCCAAGAGAGCGTTAACCTGACTGATAGAGAGTCGGTTGGAGAGGATCCAATGCGCAAGAGCATCCTTGAGGTTAAACTGAGGGGGATCTTCCTCTTCCGCCAGTGCAGCACCTGCTTGAGGTCCCTCCCCACCATCATCATCAGCACCAGATACAGCAGCATTACTAGAGGCATCATCATCTTGTTCAAAGGGCAGCGCGCTATCTACAGAATCAGAGGATGAGGAAGTATCAATAGTGTCTGCTGGATCAGCACGAGATATAGGAGGTACATCACAGCACACATCTTCCGCAACACCCGGTCCTACATTTGCATGCACAGGCTCCAACCTAAGTACTGCACGCGGAATGGGGTTAGGAGGGATGAAGCTCGACCTTGCGCGCTTGGGGGCCTGGAGCTGCTCGCTACTGCTAATGAGGTTTGCAGGGCAGGAGTTGCTCTGCATGTGGCGTCCCAAACCCGATCGAGTGTCGAATGCACAGAGTCGACATCTTGGGCAGAGAAATGACATCTGCCAGAATTTTGGGAGTAGGGAAGAAGGGGGGGAAGGGGGAAAGCAGAGAATACATGCATATGAGGGGAGGGGAAGGGGGAATCCAGAGAATACATGCATATGAGGGGAGGGGAAGGGGGAATCCAGAGAATACATGCATATGAGGGGTGGGGAAGGGGGAATCCAGAGAATACATGCATATGAGGGGTGGGGATGGGGGAAACCAGAGAACACATGCATATGAGGGGAGGGGAAGGGGGAATCCAGAGAATACATGCATTTGAGGGGTGGGGATGGGGGAAACCAGAGAACACATGCATATTAGGGGAGGGAATAGGGAAACCAGAGAACACATGCATATGTGGGGTGCGTACGGGGGAAACCAGCGAATACGAGCATATCATGGGAGCGGATATGAGAAACCAGAGAATACAAGCATATGAGGCCATGAGAAGAGTGCACGAGAGAAAGGGACGAGAGAAAGAGTGCAGACTTGAAGAGAAACAGAGGGAAGAGAGAGAGGGCGCACTGGAGAGATTCAGAGGGGAACGAGAGGACGCGCACGTGAGAAGAGGAGTAGAGGGGAATGCGAGAGATGGTGCAAGGAATGAGAGAATGAGAGGGGAATGAGAGGGGAATGAGAGTGCAGGCGCACGGAATGAGAGAATGAGAGGGTAATGAGAGGGGAATGAGAGTGCAGGCGCACGGAATGAGAGAATGAGAGGGGAATGAGAGGGGAATGAGAGTGCAGGCGCACGGAATGAGAGAATGAGAGGGGAATGAGAGGGGAATGAGAGTGCAGGCGGACGGAATGAGAGAATGAGAGGGGAATGAGAGTGCAGGCGCACGGAATGAGAGAATGAGAGGGGAATGAGAGGGGAATGAGAGTGCAGGCGCACGGAATGAGAGAATGAGAGGGGAATGAAAGTGCAGGCGCACGGAATGAGAGAATGAGAGGGGAATGAGATTGAAGGCGCACGGAAAAAGAGAAACAGAGGGGAATGAGAGTGAAGGCGCACGGAATGAGAGAATGAGAGGGGAATGAGAGTGAAGGCTCACGGAATGAGAGAAGGAGAGGGGAATGAGAGGGGAATGAGAGTGCAGGCGCACGGAATGAGAGAATGGGAGGGGAATGAGAGTGAAGGCGCATGGAATGAGAGAATGAGAGGGGAATGAGATGGGAATGAGAGTGCAGGCGCACGGAATGAGAGAATGAGAGGGAATGAGAGTGAAGGCGCACGGAAAAAGAGGAGCGGGGGGTAGGGAGAAAGAAGGCACAAGGGAGGAGAGGAGCAGCGGTGTATGTGATAGTGTACGCACAGCAGGAGATGATGGGGACGAAATGCGAATGGCGCGGAGGGGAAAGAGAGTGCACGCACAATGGAAGAGAGGAGCAGCGGCACATGAGAGGGTACGCTCAATGGAGGAGAGGCGCAGAGAAGGAGATTGTCCGCTTGAACAAGGGAGGATCTGACTCACCTAAGCAAATAGCGACGCGCGGTATGGAGGATCGGACGAGAGATGGAATGGGAACAAGGCGCGAACAAGGAACGGACGAGAGGGGGAGACGAGCGAGGCGCGGATGCAAGCAACGGACGAGATCACGGAATGCACGAGGCACGGATGCGTGGAAGACACAAATGGCAAGCAACGAACGAGCCGCACTAATGACACCGTTCGTGATAGAGAATACGAGGGAACGAACAAGGCGCGCAAGGGAGGAACGCACGAGATAGCATCACGAACGAGGCGCGAAAATAAGGATCGGCCGAGATAGGGAACGGAAATAGGCACGCAATAGAGGAGACAGCTAAATGGGGCGAGGCGCGCCACTCACTAAGGCCGGGAGGACAATGCGAAATCCGCGTGCTATATATTTGGGAAACAGATGGCAGTGAATAGACGAAAAGCGAACGGGAGGAATGGATGGTAGGGGGAATGGGGCACACGAGGAATGGAACAGAGGGGGGGGACGACAACGATCACGGGAGAAGCGGACGATCGCGACGAAGCGCGCACGGGAGGGTGAATAGGACGAGGCCGCGTGGCGGGTAAGGGAGGAACGAACGAGAGGAAAAGAACGCGGCGCGCACGGAATGAGCCGAGGGAAGGGAGAATTGCGACGATCGCGTCGTGTTTAGATTGAAGGGGCACGGGAGGATTGGAGCGTTGCGACGGGAGAGTCTGGAGACACACCTGTGATTCTCGACAGTTGGTCTAACATCCCGCATAGAAACGGAACAAGGTTCCACACGAAACCGCTCCAGACCCGTGGCGAGTAGTTAGCTCGTTGCCTGTACGGAAGATGGCCAAGTCTGCTGAAATACTCGCGATGGAATTTATAGCGGCGGAGGTGATCACCCAGACTAAATAAGACAGTAACAGGTTTAACTAGCACCAGGGCCTTACTACTTAGTCTCCATTGTGCTCACCCATGTCGAGAGAATTTTGCAGGGGTGATTCGAGTCTGTGCTCTAGCTCGAAATCCTGTTTGATATGCAGTTCATTCTGGTTGAATGCGGTGCTGTGCATACTATAGCGCATTGACAGGGTTTCTTTGCAGTTGGGTACGGTCTCGCAACCCTGAAGGTGAAAGTGGAGCCGTACTGACACCACCCAATCAGAAACTTCTGGGTGCATTGTTGCCAGTGGGTACAAGTACAACCAATGGTCACGTGTGAAAACACTGACGATTTCAAAATTGGCGCGAATCTGATCATCCTGACAGTTGCACCCTCAACTCTTGGTCAAATACCTCGATTTGGGGAACTCCCTAAAGCACGAGCATGGCAGTCTATAAGCATCGACACTGCAAATAATAAATCCGCAGTAACCATTTGAACTTGTAGGGGGAATAATACCAACCAGCAAAACAAAATACAAAATTCTACCCTAAAACGTCCGATATAACAGAATTACAAAAAAAAACGATACCACCGGTAGAAATTGCATTAACCGAATACAAAAACAACACAGCACCCATAATTTGAATTAACGATACAAAAACATAACAATGGACTGGATTCAAATGTTAAGTACAATCCCTATTTTTTCTGCAACAGTCAGACAACTCCCAACTGTATCGCGACGCACAGCTACGGAATAACACACCCACCCTGTTAGTGCTCGATTTCTGATTGTGAATGGCAAGAACCACCCACTCACTGCCACGCTGGCAAATTGTGCTCAACTTCCGAAGTTGAGCACCGATCGTGGTGAGAGACCCAACACGTGGCTTCGTCAAACAAGGCCCATTCAACTACAAATCACTATCGTAAACCACACTACTCCGACGATCGCCCATCATTCGCCACCACGCTGCTCCAACCGGCCGATTAACTGTCGTTCACGACATGACCTCCAACCTAGAAATCTAAGCCGATACCCCACCACGCGGCATCCGGCGGGATCACATTTTTCTGATGGGCGGAGGGATGCGCAGGCGACGCCGAAGTAGGCGCGGCGGCGGGAGGGAGACGGCGACGGGGGGTCGCGGCAGGGGGAGGAGTAGGCGGCGACGAGGCGTCACGGCGGGATGCGCAGGCGGCGCCAGAGAAGGAGCGGCGGCGGAAAAAAAAGAAGGGGGGAGGGGGGGGGGGGGGGCAGCGACGGTGTGTCGCGGCGACGGGGGGCGATGATGCACTCGCGTAGGTCGTGCCAAGGAGGGAGGGAAGAGTGGCGACGGCATAGGTCGTGCCAAGGAGGTGCTAGGTTGAGACACACGTAGGGGGTTTGTGGCTGTGGGGTGGGCCCATGGGGAAGAAAAACTTTGAGGGAGGGAGAGAAAAGGCTTAGGAACAACTAGCTCTATACCATGTGAAGATTGTGAATTGAACAAGTGATTAGATTAGAGAGGCAACCTAGCATACATGGTTGGAAGGAAAGGTTGGAAGGGAAGGATGGAAGGGAAGGATCAAAGTGACCATAGGTTGGGTTGACCTCACTTGGGGGGATGAGGGAACCATAGGTCAAGTGGGTTGGGTTGCCCATACTTTGTAGAAGTGAGGCAACCCTAGGCCCACTTGGCTTGGGGGAACCTCAATTGTGGGAAGTGAGGTACCCACAAGTCAAGAGGGTTGCATTTGGGGGCTCCACCACAATTGGATGGATTGGCACCCCAAAGTGCAAGACTACACCCAAAGTTGGGTGTAGTCCCAACCCAACTGTACACCACAATTGGTGTACAGTCACATGTGTTGGCATGCTACACAATATATATTTTAACACAACTCCTTAGCATGCTAACACAAGAAGAGAACAACCCCTGAGTCAAGGGGTGCCCGGGCGAGCAAGGCCAATGAGGCGGAGGAAAGTAGAGTGCGCGGGGCAAAGGAGGGCGTTAGTGAAGATGTCGGCCAAGTTGGCCTCGGTTGCAATCTTGCGAACGGCAAGGAGGCCCTTCTGGACGAGTTCGCGAACGAAGAAGTAGCGGAGTTCGATGTGCTTGGAGCGGGCGTGATAGACGGGTACCTGAGTGAGATGGATGGTGCTGGCGTTGTCGCACCAGAGAGTGGGGCACGTCTGGGGGGCGCCAAGCTCTGCAAGAAGGAAGCAGAGCCAGCGCGACTCGTGGGCGGCCATGGTGCCAGCGTAGAGCTCTGCCTCGCAGGTGGAGAGAGAGATAGCGGAGGAGCGGGTGGAGCGCCAGCTGATTAGGCTGCTGCCAAGGGTGAAGCCGTAGCCCTGGGAGGAGCGGCGGTCCGGCTGCGTGTCGGCCCAGGAGGAGTCACTGAAGCCCGAGAGAAGGGGACGGGAAGGGCCGCCGAGGGTGAGGGCAAGGTCCCTGGTCCCGCGAAGGTAGCGGAGGACCCGCTTAGCAGCTTTCCAGTGCTCCTCAGAGTGACGACCGATGCGGACAAAGTGAGCGAGCACGCTGATGGGGTAGGCAAGGTCGGGGCGGGTGCACATCATTGCGTACATCAAGGACCCAACGAGCTCGACGTAGGGGTGGGGGGAGGAGGTGGGGGAGGTGGGTGGAGCGAGTTGGTGACCAAAGGGGAGCGGGGTGGAGACAGGCTTGGCCTGCGTCATGTCGAACTTCTCCAAGATTTGCCCGATGTAATGGGACTCGGAGAGGGTAATTGTGCGAGCAGGGCGGTTGCGCGTGATGGTCATGCCGAGGTAGTGAGTGAGGGCGCCAAGGTCCTTGCAGTTGAGCCGTTGTTGCAGCGACAGCTTCACCTGCTCCATGTCGGCCTTGGTGTTAGAGAGCAGGATCATGTCGTCGACATATACTAGAATGAAGAAGCGGCGGGGGGAGGAGCGGATGAAGAGGCTGGCGTCGGAGTGGGAAGCAGAGAAGCCAAGAGACCCCAAGGTGGAAGCCAGCTTCGCATGCCACTCACGCGGCGCCTGCTTCAAGCCGTAGACGGGGCGACGCAGCTGCCAGACAGTGTTCTCAGGAAAGGCTGCGTGGAACCCGGGGGGGCGCCGAAGGAAAATGCGCTCATGCAGGTCACCCTGCAGGAACGCATTGGAGACGTCCATGGAGTCGATTTCCATGTCGTCACGTGCACCAATATCCATGGCGGCGCGAAGGGTGGGTTGTTTGGCGGTAGGGGCGTAGGTGAACAAGTAGTCCCCAGCTCAGGTCTGCGTGAACCCCTTAGCGCAGTTGTGGGTCTTGTATACTGGTTCCTCAACCGGCAGCTGCTTCACCCGGAAGACCCATTTGCCGTCAACGAGATTAGCGCCAGCAGGGAGAGGGACATCGACAAAGGAGTCGTTGCGAATGAAAGCCTCACACTCGAGGAAGATTGCTGCCATCCATTTATCCGCATCAGGGCAGGTGATGGCTTCCTGGAAGGTGGAGGGAGTGAAGATGGTGGGGGTAGTGGTGGCGCCAAGGACGGGAAAGCCCAGGAAGTCAAGATAGAGGGCGGCAAGGAATGGAGTGTGCTCCTGAATATTAAGAAACTCCTCATGGGAGTCCTCAAGGAGCTGAATGGAGGCAGGTGAGGAGCCCCAAGGATTTTGTCCACAGAGCGGGTATGGATGTAAGGGAGGAGGAAGGGGGAGGAACGGGAGGTGGCCCGACGCCGCTGCTGTCGCTGGTGCTGCTGAAGCTGCTGCCCTTGTTGCTGCAGCTGCGGCTGACCGTGTTGGTGCTGCAGCTGCTGAGGCTGTTGAGGCTGCTGCTACTGAGGCTGCTGCTGCTGCTGCTGTCCCGGCTGCCGCTGCTGCTGCTGCTGGCCCGGCTGATGCTGCTGCTGGCCCGGGTGCTGCTGCTGCTGCTGCCCCGGCTGCTGTCCCGGTTGCTGCTGCTGCTGCTGTTGCTGCTGCGGCTGCTGCTGTTGCTGCTGCGGCTGCTGCTGCTGCTGCTGATCTGGCTGCTGGAAGGAGGGAGAGGGAGAGGGGGAGTGAGGGGGGGGAGGGGGTGCGGCCGAGTGAGCGGGGGAAGCGGGTGCGGCAGGGCTGTAGACATCGGCGGAGGAGGAGGGCGGGAGCGGAGCTGCGACGGGTGGGAGGAGAGGGGCTGGAGGGAGAAGGGGCGGGAGGACGGTGTCGATCCAAGCAAGGGGACGAGTGGGAGGAGGGAGAGGATCAGGGGGAGGAGTGGAGTAATAGGGGACGGATTCGTTGAAGACGACGTCGCCGCTGCGGATGAGGCGATTGGTGGGAGGGTGGAGGAAGAGGTAGCCTAGGGAGTCGCGATTGTGCCCAAGGTAAACGCATTCCAGGGAGCGAGGAGCAAGCTTGCCAGTGGCGCGGGAGCGGTCGGCGGGTGGGATGAGAACGAAGGCCTTGCAGCCCCAAACGCGAAGGCCGGCAGCGTCGGGTTTGGCGTTGGACCAGAGCTCTGTAGGGGAGGAGGAAGGATGCTGAGGGTGGGAGCGGAGATTAAGGAGAAGAGCGGCGTGGAGGAGGGCATAGCTCCAGAGGGAAGGAGGGGTGGAGGCATGAGCAATGAGACAGCGAGCAATCTTGGTGATCTCACGAATGCGGCTCACAGCAATGCCGTTCTGCTGAGGGGAATGGGGAAGGGTGGAGGTCTGTTGGATGCCGTAGGTGGCGCAGTATGTGACAAGGGTGTTATTGATGAACTCACCCCCACCATCAGAGTGAAGGCGGCCAATGGGGCGTTTGAAGTGATTGCGGCACTGTTCGGCCCAGTTGATGACCACTGCCGGCACCTGGTCTTTCGTGTGAAGGAAGAAGTTGGTGGAGTACCGGCTGTGGTCGTCAACGAGGACGAGCATGCACCGATGCCCCTGGCGGGAGCGGATGGGATAGGGGCCCCAGAGGTCCATGTGCACAAGGTCAATGGGGGCGGCGACAAAGGTGGGATGACTGTGGTGGGGGGACTATTTGAGCTTGCCGTGAATGCATGAAGGGCATGGGGGAGAGGGGGAGGAAGGGAGGGGAGGTAAGACGGGAGGAAGGCTGCGGAGGAGGCGAGAGGTGACTGTGGTGCGAAGGGCGGTGAAGTTGGGATGGCCGATTCTGTGGTGTAAGAGGACAGCAGGGTGGGAGAGGGCAGCGGAGGAGGAGGGAGATGGGGTAAAGGAAGGAACGGGAGGGGAGGAGGGGGATGGTGGGGAGGGAGAAGAGGTTACTTGAGTGGGAGGGGAAGGGGGAAGTAAAGGAGGAGGAGGTGGACCGGTGGAAGCACCGGAACGAGTGGTGACGTGGCAGAAAGATGTGCGAGGTGTGCGGAGTGTGTAGAGGCGAGTGCGGGGGCAAAGCGGAATGCGGAGAAGGAAGCGACCGGAGGAGGTCGGGTAGAGATCACAGTAATTGGCATAACCGGGGTAAATGGCAGTGATACCAACACCTTGGAGCTCACGGTGGGAGAGGAGGTTGTTGCGGAGAGTGGGGATGTGGAGACCTGTGACCTTACCGGAGGGGAAGGCAGTGCAAGGGAGGGTGGAAAGGTGAGTGCATGGAATGGAAAAGCTGGAATCAGCTCCATGAACCTGAGTGGGAAGTGGTAGTGGGGTGAGAGTGCCAGCATCTTTCAGTGCGGTTTCAGTGGCTCCACTGTCAAGGACAAAGTCCAGGGTGGGAGAAGAGGGAGGAGGGGGTGGGACGGGATACTGAAACGAAGTCTCATTGATAGTAGAGGGATACATGGCAGCAACGGACGGTGCAACAGTGATATTACCAAGGAATCTACCAGAAGTGTCGGGAACACTTGGGAGGGGGGAGGGGAGGGAACCCCAGGGGGGAGGAGGAGGAAGGGAGGTATGAGCAGCCATGGCCGCCGTGCCGAAGGTGAGTGGCTGTTGCTGCCAGGGTGGGGGAAGGAACTGCTGCTGCTGCTGTGGCGGTGGCTGGAAGAACTGCGGCGGCGGCGGATGCTGGGGCTGGAGAAACTGCGGCTGCTGCTGCCGCTGGTGGAAGTACAGGTGCTGCTGTTGCTGGTGCTGCTAAAACTGCTGCAACTGTGAGGGTGGGGAGGGGGTAACCATGCGGAGGTGAGCAGGGAGGAAAGAGGGGAGGGTTTGAATATCCACTAAGGTGGGGCGAGGTGCGATCAAGTTCTAGCGAGGAGGGGTGCCAGTGTTGCCTCGATCAAACTAGGCGTCGTCGAGTGCCTTAAAGCACGTGGTGGGGGGATGGTTGGTCTGGCCGTAAGGGGTACGAGCATGGGGACCATGGCGGTGCACATATGTGCATGGGAGGAGAGTGCCAGGGCGTCCGCCTCGAGTCACAGCGCCACCAGAACCGGAAGGTCCTCCAGCAGGGGCGCTGCCAGCACCATCTCCACCGGCACCACGGCCACCACGGCCACCACTACCACCACCGCCACCACCACGGCCTCCACCACCACCGCCACCACCACGGCCTCCGCCGCCGCCGCTGCGACCACCCTGGTTGCGCGGCTGCGTAGCGTTCAGGGAGGTGGAGGAGGAGGACTGAGGGGTGGTAAGGTTGACAATTGGGGTACGAAGCTTGACCTCCGTGTCAATGATCCACTTGACCACGTCGTCGAGGCCGGCCATGGGGTTGGCCTCAGTGAAGGCATGGAGGCGGGACTCGTAGTCCGGGGTGAGGCTGTAGAGGAGGTGGTGGATTTGCAGAGGCTCAGGGAGGGCAGCTTGGCGTGCCGCAAGGCGATCAGCGACCTCCTGCATGCGCCCCACGTAGTCAACTGCGCCATCACAAGTGGCGAGGGTGGTGGAGAAGTACTCCTGAAACAGGGCGCCGACAGAGCTGATGTCACGACGCTCGAACATCGCCTGGAGCTCGGCCCAGATGAGGGAGGCGCGCATCTCGCGAGCTTGGAAACGGCGCATGAGGGTACCATGGAGTGCGCCGAGGAGGATGGTGCAGGCGCGGTTATCAGCAGTGGCCCACGCGATGCTCCGAGGGAGGTATTCCGCCATGGCCATATTGTATTCATCAAGGAGCGCCAGGCGATTGGCGCGTTCCGCTACCGCGAAGTCGTAGTTATGTGCCGCAACCTCATGCTCCGCCTTGCAGATGAGGTATTTGCGGCGATCGTGGAGGAATGCGGCATCGGCTGCATCCTGGAGCGCTGGGGTAGTGGCGATCTCCAAGGTGGATTCAGTAGGAGGAGGACCAGGAGGAATGGGGGGTGGAGGGGGTTCGCCGGGGTGATTGGGTGCCGTGGGCTGGAGGGCTTGCGGGCGGCGGAGGAGGATGTCGATGACTCAGTAGGGTCCGATGAATGCATCTTGGAGAACACGGCGGATGCTCACGACGAATAAATGCCAATTGATCGCCAAGCGGTCCGCGGCAAGCTGAAGCTTGTCGACGGAGGAGGCGTCAATGGGAGGAGGGAGAGGGGGAGGAGTGGTAGCCATGAGGGGCGAGGGCGGGTGGATCCGTGGCGGCCTAGAGGTGGACGGCGGCGGGTGGACCCGCGGCGGCCAAGGGGGAGGGCGACGGCGGGTGGACGCGCGGTAGCCGAGAGGGAGGAGGGCAGGGGGGGGGGAGGGGGGGGGTGCTGCTGCAGGGAGTGGAGGTCTTCTTCGGCTGCTGTTGCTGCTGCTGCCGCTGCTGCCGATGCTGCCGCTGCTGCCGCTGCTGCTGCTGCTGGCGCTGCTGCCGATGCTACCGCTGCTGCCGCTGCAGAGGGAGGAGGGGGGGGGGGGGGGGAGGGGAGGAGGGGGAGGAAGATGGTGGATGCAGCTGCTGCCGCTGCTGCCGGCGCTGCGGCTACTGCCGCTGATGCCGTTGCTACCGCTGCTGCTGCTGAGAGGGAGGAGAGGGGGGGGGGGGGGAGGGGAGGAGGGGGAGGAAGATGGTGGATGCAGCTGCTGCCGCTGCTGCCGCCGCTGCTGCTGCTGCCGCTGTTGCTGTTGTGGCTGCTGAGGTGTCTTTGCTGCTGCTGCGTGGGAGGAGAGGAAGAGGAAAGGGGGAGTGGGAGGGAGAACGCAGGTGTAGGTGTGGGCGGGGCTGTTGCTGCCAATGACGCTACTGCTGAGGGATGAGGCGGCTGCTACGAGGAAGGCGCGGTGGCGAAATGCGCGGGTGGCGACGAGGGAGTCGAGGCGGCAAAATGCGCGGGCGGCGACGAGTAGGTCGCGACGGTAAGATGCGGGGGCGGCAATTTTTAGGTCGTGGCGACGGGATGTGCGGGCGGCGACGAGCAGGTCGCGGCTAAAGGTCCCGCGGGCGGCGACTTTAGATAGTGGCGGCAAGGGGTGAAGGCGGCAACGAGAAGGTTGCGGCGGCGAGATTCGCAGGCGGCGACGCGAAGTCGCGGCGGCGGGTCGTGCAGGCGGCGAAGCGAAGTCGCGGCGGCGGGTCGTGCACGCGGCGACGAGAAGGTCGCGGCAGCGGGATGCGTAGGCGGCGACGCGAAGTCGCGGCGGCGGATCGTGCAGGCGGCGATGAGCGGGTCGCGGCGGCGGGATGCATAGGCGGCGACGGGGGGGTCGCGGCGATGGGGAGCACAGGCGGCGACGCGAAGTCGCGGCGGCGGGAGGGGAGGCGACGACGGGGCGTCGCGACGGCGGGATGCGCAGGCAGTGCCGAGGAAGGCGCGGCGGCCGTAGGGGGAGGCTGCGACGCGACGTCGCGGCAGCGGGAGGGGCAGGCGTCGACGGGGTGTCGCGGCGGAGGGATGCGCGGGCGACGCCGAAGTAGGCGCGGCGGCGGGAGGGAGACGGCGACGGGGGGTCGCAGCAGGGGGAGGAGGAGGCGGCGACGAGGCGTCGCGGCAGGATGCGCAGGCGGCGCCACAGAAGGCGCGGCGGCGGAAAAAAAAGAAGGGGGGAGGGGGGGGGGGGCGCAGCGACGGTGTGTCGCGGCGACGGGGGGCGATGATGCACTCGCGTAGGTTGTGCCAAGGAGGGAGGGAAGAGTGGCGACGGCGTAGGTCGTGCCAAGGAGGTGCTAGGTTGAGCCACACATAGGGGGTTTGTGGCTATGGGTTGGGCCCATGGGGAAGAAAAACTTTGAGGGAGGGAGAGAAAAGGCTTAGGAACAACTAGCTCTATACCATGTGAAGATTGTGAATTGAACAAGTGATTGGATTAGAGAGGCAACCTAGCATACATGGTTGGAAGGAAAGGTTGGAAGGGAAGGATGGAAGGGAAGGATCAAAGTGACCATAGGTTGGGTTCACCTCACTTGGGGGGATGAGGGAACCATAGGTCAAGTGGGTTGGGTTGCCCATACTTTGTAGAAGTGAGGCAGCCCTAGGCCCACTTGGCTTGGGGGAACCTCAATTGTGGGAAGTGAGGTACCCACAAGTCAAGAGGGTTGCATTTGGGGGCTCCACCACAATTGGGTGGATTGGCACCCCAAAATGCAAGACTACACCCAAAGTTGGGTGTAGTCCCAACCCAACTGTATACCACAATTGGTGTACAGTCACATGTGTTGGCATGCTACACAATATATATTTTAACATGGGGATGGCGAGTATGGGGGTGACAAGTGTGTGCGCTGTCCCCTGCTCCTCCTCCTCCTCCGTCTCCCACTGCTCCGTCATCCCATTTTACCCCGTCACCGCCCCTAGCGGCCCCGTCGCCGCTCTTCGCGGCCCCGTCGCCGCCTCTAGCGGCCCTGTCGCCACCTCTACCAGCCCCGTCGCCGCCCTTTGCGGCCCCGTCGCCGCCCTTTGCGGCCCCGTCGCCGCCCCTATCGAGGCCCTGCCCCGGCCCTGCCCCGACCCTGCCCCGGCCCCGCCCTGGCCATGCTTCGTCGCCTGGCGCGGCGCACCGGGGACCCGTGCACCACCCCCCCCCCCTGTTTTCCCGTCGCCTGTCAAGGCAACCTGAGGGGGCCGCATGGGGGGGGGGGGGGGGGGGGCGAGCGTCGCCCCTTCTGCCGCCTACTTTGGCGCCCTGGGAGGCCGTGCGTCGGCCCCCCCCTTCCCCCCCCCCCCCCCCTCGTAACCTCCCTACCCGCCATCCTGCCTTGCCCTGTGTTAGGGTCTGGGGGTGGCGAGTGGAGGGTGGCGGGTGTGTGGTCTCCCCTGCTCCTCCTCCTCCTCTGTCTCCCACTGCTGCAGCTGCCGCTGAGGGGGATGGGTGTGTGGGAGTCGACGGAGTGGTGCTAGGGGGTGGGGTGTGAGTGAACCTAGGGGTGCAGTACGGGGTGTGTGAATTGGGGGTGGGATAGTTTGGGGAGGTTGAAGGGGGTGGCCGCCGTGAAGCCCGCAGCTCCAGTCGCCCATGAGACCGTTGCGCCAGTCGCCCGTGAGCCCGTTGCGCCAGTCGCCCATGAGCCCGTTGCTCTAGTCGCCCGTGAGTCCGTTGCTCCTGTCGCTCAGAGTTAGTCGCGGAGCCAGTTACTCCAGTAGCCCGTGTGCCAGTTGCTCCAGTTGCCAGTGTGCTAGTTGCTCCAGTTCCCCGTGTGCCAGTTGCTCCAGTTGCGCCGTGTGCCAGCAGCTTCAGCTGCCGCCCACTACCTCCTCTCATCTCATAGTCCCTCCTCCTCCACAATTGCCCTCTATGATAGCCTCTAGCTTTGCTTACATTTGTGAACTTTAAGCTGTTGCTTCTTGTACTTGTGCTCAGAATGAGTGGTGACATTGTGATCCACCCAGAGCTTGTTGTGCTTTGCTTGTTGTGCTGATTACACCCCACTTTGACTATGGGGGTGTGTCAGAATATTATGTTTCTCTAGTCTGTAGTGGGGTACTCTATAGTGAGTACAACCCTTTTAGGGTTTGCTATATGTATCCCAATGTTTGCTTGTGAACCCCTCTCTTTTTCATTCCTCATTCTTCACAGACAAGAGGTCCAATTCAACAGCTACAACAACCCTTTGACGCATGATGGGGAGTTTGTCTGTGACGAGTACGGACTGTCAACGGGAGTTGTGTCGTGGCTTTGTCCTCGCTTGGGCAGAGCCGACTTTGTGGGCAGGTGCGCGGGAAGTGCAGTCGACCGGCTGCGGTGGGGCAACGCCGGCTTGGGCGTCAGGCCGTTGCAACGCCGCTGTCGGTACGGGAACCGGCGGCCGTCTTCACCTTGGGGGGTCGACGAAGGAGGCGCCGACTTGGGAGGCCCCATCATCGACCATTGCTGGATGCCCCTGTCGAAAAGAAAAGGCCCCGCCCTTGCTTGGGCGAAGTCGACCATGCATTTCGGAACAAGACGGTGTTCGTTTCGTGGTCATCGGCGACTTCGGTGACTTTTATCTGTCTGCGAAGAGTCGTTTGTCGACGAGATTAATTGGTCGAGGTAGAAATGTTTCCTCTGCTCGATCAAAGTCTTTGTCTAGGAGGAGCTCACCGACGGGAGTAAGGCGTCGAAGACGAGCCATTCTAATAGACGGAATTAGCAAAATTGTTGTTTCGACCGATTGCTGGTCGACAAAATTACTAGGCGAGTATTTCGACGAGTGTTTCGTCAAGTAGAATGATTCTGGTTGACCAGAATTACTTGGCTCGGAAATTCGCAATGTGCACGAATTTCGCCCAATGACGAAACAACAAATTTCGACCAATCACGTAATTTTGGAAATTGTACTCCCAAGGAGAATTTGATTCAATAAGGAAACTGAACCTGTAACACGTTTTTACTAACAGTAAAAACGTGCACAACTATGAACGTTGTAAACCTGTGCAACTACCAACTCAGGTGAAATATGCATGTGTTTGTCGTTTCAACTGCCGTTGCTGACTCGACAGATTCAGGTGCTTGTCGAGGAACGTTTCTACAGGGTTCATTGTCTTAGCTGTTTGGTTCTCCTTGCTAGTACCATATTCTTGTTCTATGAACTTTTGCTAGTGGAACTATGCTTGAATTCTACCAAGGCAACTAAGTTCACTTCTGAGAATCACTGCCAGAACTCTAACCGTGTGTCCCACGTTATTCAAGCTCTCCTGTAGAATAGTATTCTCCGCATGGTGCTGTGAGCGTGGACGGCCCCTTGTTAGAGCGTTCAGATAGCTGACTTGTGCGTTCATTACCTAAGTTGTTGTTAGGCCGGCAGCCGTCGTATTCGCCATGGTCGAACCCATGGTCGAAGCGGGCATAGAAGATACCTTACAGGCAAGAGAGGCTGGTGTTCGGGCACGCCACGAGGCTGGCAGGTACGGCGAGGCGAACTTGGAGAATCTGCTCCTTGGAACTCATGCGCAGTGGGCGCGTGAGCACCCCCCTCCCCGTAAAGAAGTGGATGACGCGTCCGCCTCTCCCCAAACCGTGCACAGCAAAGGCGATGGTGGAAGTGTTGTCGGCGGTAGAAGCAGGAGGGTTCACGGAGTGATTTGGCCCGCCGTCGGCAGCGTTGGCGGAATGCAGGCGCAAGTGTTGCGATCGTCTGCGATTGGAGGCAGCTCGAACGGCAACATCGATGGTCGACGTTTATCTCATCTGCGGAGTGGAGTCAGGCCAACTTT